TTGCCAGTGCCAAGTAGAAGCAGTGTTGGAAAAGAACAAGGAACATCCTGAAAAATGTCACTCTTGGACACTGTTTGAAAGACAGCACCCTGTTACAAGCTCTCTGTCTCAGAAGCCACAAGAGTTTCTGCCCGAGTTTACTGATGCACAGGCAAGAGAAGCCAACAGGGTATGGTAGCCGCTCCATGCTGGACAAAGGGAAAGACAGATGCCATGGCAATCATTGAGATCCCAGGCACAGGATTCCCAAAACTCAGTGCACCCTGGAGTGAGTTAAGCCTCTGATCACCCTGCTGTGCAGAGAAATACTGACACGAGACCCAGAGACATGGAGAGAACAGTATTTAAAGGGCATGTGTCAGTGCACTCATTTATCTGATGATAAACACAGATGAGGCATCAAGAAACACTAAGGACATGAATCCCTCAGGATTTTCACTTTTCTTTTTCAAAACAGGAAAGGCTGCCTCATGGGCTGGGAGCGGAAGAATGAAGCCAGCCCACACTGAAGATTTGGGCTGGGCTCAGAGAAATTTTGGTTTAGTGCAGAGTGCAGCCAGAAGAATGTGACTTCAGTGGGGAGGTGGGGGGGGTACGGAACTTAGTCCATTATTTGCTTGGTAGTTGCACACACAAACACATAATCATCATCATGTGTGCCAGTGTGGTGTAGTGGTTAAGAGCGGTGGACTCGTAATCTGGTGAACCGGGTTCGCGTCTCCGCTCCTCCACATGCAGCTGCTGGGTGACCTTGGGCTAGTCACACTTCTCTGAAGTCTCTCAGCCCCACTCACCTCACAGAGTGTTTGTTGTGGGGGAGGAAGGGAAAGGAGATTGTTAGCCGCTTGGAGACTCCTTTGGGTAGTGATAAAGCGGGATATCAAATCCAAACTCTTCTCTTCTAAGAATAATAACTCCGCTCATCTGACTGGGTTTCCCCAGCCATTCTGGGTGATTCCCAACAGAATATTAAAAACACGCTAAAACATCAAACATTAAAAACTTCCCTAAACAGGGCCACCTTCAGATGTCTTCTAAAAGTCAGATAGTTGTTTATTTCCTTGACCTGATGGGAGGGCGTTCCACAGGGTGGACACCACTACCAAGAAGGTCCTCTGCCTGGTTCCCTGTAATGTTGCTTCTCGCAGTGAAGGAACCACCAGAAGGCCCTTGGTGCTGGATCTCAGTGTCTGGGCTGAAAGATGGGGGTGGAGATGCTCCTTCAGGTATACTGGGCCGAGGCTGTTGAGGGCTTTAAAGGTCAGCACCAACACTGAATTATGCTCGGAACGTACTGGGAGCCAATGTAGGTCTTTCAGGACCAGTGTTATATGGTCTCAGTGGCCACTCCCGGTCACCAGTCTAGCTGCCGCATTCTGGATTATTTGTAGTTTCTGGGTCACCTTCAAAGGTAGCCCCACCTAAAAGCTTTTCTCTCCCACCACCAAGTTCCAGATCTAGATTTGAAATGGATACCTGGGCCACAAATTATTCCAGCAGGTGGTGGGAAGTATCTAGGGAGTGGGGAAAGTTGGGTCATTGAGGGGGAAAGACTGGTCCCTTTGAGGTGTGCACAAATGCAACATGAAAATCAGAAGACAGAGGGGAGTGGGGGCACATACAAGGCTTTCCACCAGTTGACGGCATGTCTGCCCAGCACCCAGTGGCTGCTGGTGCATTCGAGCAAATAAGGTCATGCACTCCAACCTCAGCAAACCCCAACCAGTTCTCTGTGGAAAGGAATATTTTCTTTGTGCACAATGCACTATAATAGGGAATGCCACTTCGAGGTGGGGGGGAATGTAATTAGACAAATTGCACTTAAAAATGCATATATGAGGTGAAAATTGCACCAAAATGCCTATGAATTTTCATAAGGATTGAAAAGAAATTGCAAACTGATGTGGAAATGTGTGTGGAGAACTGAACTTAAGAATGGAAAAACGAGAAGCTAAAAGAAATTAATACTGACAGATTTGCCCATGGCTAGTCTCAGGTCATTGTCAAATAATTTCCCCAAGTTTGCTTACCTCTTGAATCCGGTCTTTGCTGTTTCTGTACCATCTGTTCACAGAGTGGTTACATCTGGTACATTTCTCGCTCTTCTGTCATTTGGACACAACTTGGTCTCTCATTTGTTACAACTTCTCATCCTGATTGCACTCTTCATGTTCACCTCTGCACTTCCCCTGTGTAAAGGTCTACTTGCAATCGTCATAGCAACCCTTTCTTGGCCCAGAAGCATTATCTAATGAGAAGAGATCTGAGCCGCCCTAAGATAGCGGCACAGACTTTGTTAAGGAAAAACAGGTGGTGGCCATCACTTCAGAACATTTTTTTTATCTTGTTGCTGCTTTAAAAAAATAAAATAAAACCAACTGGTAAGCAGAAGACAAATAAGTGGATCGCAGAGCAGAAAACAACATTTTCTCTGCAATACAAAATTTTGCAAATTGAGTCATGGAGAAACCAAACAACCCTGCAACAGCAGTACATCTATGATAATGGCAATGGTGCAAAGCCATCTTTCCTCCTTTCCCATTAAAATGAAGACAACAGAAAGTCTGAAGGACAATCACTATGCTGGATGATATCCAGAATTCGTCACACTCAAAGTAGACCCATTAATTTAATCAGCCTTTTTTTAAAGAGAGAGCGAGAACGAGAGAATACTCAGCCATTTAAGAAACTGTCTAATAATAATAATTTTGTCATTTATACCCCACCCATTTGGCTAGGCTGCCCCAGCCACTCTGGGCAGTCTAGGACTGTAGCTCAGTGGTAGAGTCAAACCTCAGCTCCCAAACGCCTCCATTTTGGAATGTTTCGGCTCCCAAATGTTGAAAATCCGGAAGTAAATGTTCTGATTTCCAAACACTTTTCAGAACCCAAACGTCTGACGTAGCTTCTGCTTGAGTGCAGGAAGCTCCTGCAACCAATCGGAAGCCGCGCCTCGGTTGTCAAACAGTTTGAAAGCCGAACGCACTTCCGGAACAGATTATGTTCGACAACCGAGGTTTGCCTGTAGAGCATTTGTTTGCATGCAGAAGGTGTCAGGTTCAATCCCTGGCAACTCCAGGTAGGACCGGGAATCTCCCCTGTCTGAAATTCCCAGAGAACTGCTGTCAGTTAATGCAGGCAATGCTGACCTGGGTAGATCAGAAAGCTGACTCAGTATAAGGCAGCGTCCTATGTTCCTAAGAAAGTAGCTGAGAACATCTACCATTCATCACAGTCAGGGTATGTTGGCCTTAGGATCATCATAATTAATTACATCAGGGATGGGGAACTTTGGCTCTCCAGATGTTGCTGGACTACATATCCCATCAGTCTTGACCATTAGCCATGCTGGTGGAGGCAGAGGAGAATCAAGAGTCCAACACATCTGGTGGGCCACAAAGCCTCTCCTCCTCCAAGAGGGGAGATGTTGTGGGCGGGACGCGATTTCTGCATCATGCAGGGGGCGTTATGCCCCCTGCCCCACTCTCCTGGCTGGCGCACCACGCCCACACAGGTAAGCGCCCAACCGGGCGGCTTGGAGGGGCGTGGTTTGCGGTTTAAGGTACCGCTACGCCAGCCATTCCGCCTCACTTTTCACTTTCTCGTTGACCACAAGTTCCCCTCCCCTTAAACCCGCATTTATATTGTCCTTCCTACAAGGAGCTAAAGATGGCAAACATGGCTGTAATCCTATGCCCACTTACCTGAGAGTAAGTCCCATTAAACTAAGCTAAACCTAAACTAAGCTAAACTAAAAACAGGACTTTTTGTTCTGGGAATGGGTCAGGGTTTCCACACTGGTTGGCATAAGTGTTGAAGTATGTTTTTCATCCATATTTCACATATTTGTTGTATCATCTGGCTTTGCTCCGTGAAGGGCAGCACTCCCTGGGGATAGTAGCCTAACATCCGACCCAATGTACTTTTGGCTCAAGCATGCCTCACTGTTTCTTACTCCCAGATAAGAATACATAAGATTGCAGCATTAGTGAATCATTGATCTGGGCGCTCACCGCGTAAGACACAACTGAGGGAATAAATCAGGATCAGGGCAATGTGTATAAAAGCTATTTATGCCTGCAAAGCTGATTGATCTTCTGTGAGGTCAGATCACCTTGGAAACCACAGATGTGTCCTCTGAAGCTAGGAGGAAAGTGATTTACTCTGAATGATGTTTGAGTCCGTAGGATACTGAGATGCTCATGCAGCAGCGGCAAGACATAAGCATTGTGCGACCTTTCCACACCCTTGTTCAGATTCAAAGAGCACAGTGTCATTCCATTAATTCATTAACTGAGGAACAACATCACCCTCTTCATTTTATGGAAAGTACTGCCTTCAGTTTTTTTAAAAATGTTGGTTCTGTCAAATAAAGCTACATATAGCATTAAATCTATTAATGCAAATAAGTGATTTGCAACTGGGCATCTTAATACTTCTGAAAGGAAACATTAGGACCATTTACATATGTGAATATTATGAGAATAATGGTTATAGCTACCCCAGTTTTATTTCTAATAACAGTATATTGGAGCTTGTGTGTGTATTGCTCAGGTTTAAGGCAAGCGTTTGTAGCCTTTTTTTCAGCCCCACAATATGGCTTACCAGCTACCATTTTTCTTAATAGGGTTGAAGGAACAATCTGACAGTTTTGACATCATTGGAAAACCTGCCACTCAGTCTGTCTTCAACTTTGCAGTATCCCCAACATCTGTTTCACAGTAGCTCTCTGCCAGTAGCTGTTATCTTGCCTGTGCTTTTGAGGGTGTTTTGACTGCTTCCACCGATGGTGCTACTTTAATCTGACATTTGAAAAACCCTGCACATTTCCTTTAAAAAAAATAAAAATCCCCCAAAATCTGGTCTTTAAATAAATGAGCTAAAGTTCTGGAAGCTTTGACATCGCAGAATTGATGCTGAGTTCTAGGAGCTGAGAGAAGTTGTAGCAGCAGCTGCTTCTTTTGTTAAAATACTTTGTTTGTTGTTGGCAAAGCAGCTGTCCCAGTTATAATCAAGAAGAACAAAGTGATGTTTAGGTAGCTTCCTAAAAGAGAATAAAAGGAACAGCTTGCTTTCATGTGACAGTTAATTTCAGATAAAGAATAATGGAAGGCAGTTGTTTGCAACATCAGCACGAACTAATCAGGTACAAATTCCAGAGGGGTAGACAAGCTGATCTGTTGCAGCAACAACAAGGATGTTTTCCCTGCCTGAGGAGAAGGACAAGATAGGAAAACAGAAAGCTGCCAAGTTAGACCATTGGTCTATTTAGCTCAGTACTGCCTACCCTGACTGGCAGCAGCTTGCCAGGATTTGAGGATTCGAACTGTACCTGGAGACTGAACCTGGGACCTTCTGCTTGCAAGGCTAACACTCTACTAGTGAGCTATGGCCCTTCCCCATGATGTAAAGGTAAAGGTAAAGGGACCCCTGACCATCAGGTCCAGTCGTGGCCGACTCTGGGGTTGCGGCACTCATCTTGCTTTATTGGTTGAGGGAGCCGGCGTACAGCTTCCGGGTCATGTGGCCAGCATGACTATGCCACTTCTGGCGAACCAGAGCAGCGCACGGAAACGCCGTTTACCTTCCCACCAGAACGGTACCTAGTTATCTACTTGCACTTTGAGGTGCTTTCAAACTGCTAGGTTGGCAGGAGCTGGGACCGAGTAACGGGAGCTCACCCCATCGCGGGCATTTGAACCACCGACCTTCTGATCAGCAAGTTCTAGGCTCTGTGGTTTAACCCACAGTGCCACCCACGTCCCCCTGATGACATACAGTTAAATCATACTTCTGCGCTGCTTATTGGTTTGGCATTGATGAAACAACCAACTTAGGGAATACAACACAGACCATGTGATGTATAAACACTTTCTCTAGAGCAAGAGGGCTTCCCTCCTCTCTTCCCCTTGCCCCTCTCCCAAATCAGTTGGGGGGGGTCGGGAGAACCCCCCAGTACAGCCTGGGGTGGGTGGGGAGGGTGACTCATTCTGTCTGGCAAGCGGAAGTGCTTGCACTGATGGAACGATCACATGGGTATGATGTTGAATTCCTGCCACAGAATCTCTTGATGTATTTATTGGTTCAGCGGTGGCGGGTGGCCCACCATAGGCACCAACTCTATGTGGCTGAGCCCTCCAGGAAGTATGTGGGGATGTGGCTGAGCCCTCTCCAATCTTGAGGGGCCCGGCCGTGGCAGCGGCGGAGGGCCCTGCCAGAACCTGCGGCTTCCTCCCATGATGTCACGCGTGTGTGTTGCACAGAACAAGTCCCCCCAGTGTTGGGGAGAACTTGTTGCGTATGGTGCCCACTGTGGCTGATTGAGAGGAAGATGGGGAGCCACACTGTAGTTGGAGACAGAGCCAGTGACAGGCAGAGCCTGCTAGAGTGCTGTTGCATTCAAGTCCTGCTTGCAAGTTTCCCACAGGCATCCAGCTGGCCACAGTGGGAACAGGATGCTGGACTTGATGGGCCATTGGCAGGCTCTTTCTAGGTTCTTAACTAATTCTAGTTTTATCCCTATCCTCTTCCCTGATGAGTTTTGAAAGGGCAACACTGAAAATGAGGTCTGACAGGTAGTGCTGCTTCTACCTGGACTGGTTGTAAAAAGGAAGGCCGAAAGGTAGGGGCTGACTGAGGGCAGACTGAGTTTGCTTGGGCAGTGCTCCCTACTCGACCAACCTCCACTATGTTCCTCTCTGTCCAGTCTAAGTCCGGCGCCCTAAGCGTTGTATCACACTGGTCCTTCACACTAGCTGAGCTAAAATTATTATGCTGTGGAAGAGGAGCAGCAGTTTTCATTGAGAGAATTCTTGAAAACAGAGCTGCCTCCCATCTCACTCCCAATCTGATGGCAAAGGTTTGACCATAAAGATTGTATTAGAACCAGCCAAACACATTTTGCTATCAAGGATGACACTTGCATATTACTTCAATACAGAGGACTGGACAGCTTCCTCCACTGGACCAGAGTGCCATCACTTCCGGACCCCCCAGCATCTGCTACCTGAACAGCTGCCTCACTCCGTCTAATGGTAGGGCCGTGCAGACATTAAATTATTACTGAGGTTTGAGGTTTTTTAGTTCAGAAAGGCATATGCATATACTTTTTGTTAACTGTCTTGACAAAATTAATTAAAATATCCACAAGAAACCTTCTCCCACCAAACAGCTCCAGTAGGAGCAAGACCCTGATTTCTAGAGCTACAGAGGCCCTGACCAATTAAAATAACTATGAGAACAGCAGAATGTTACATGTTAATTGACCACAAGCATTATGGTTTCATTCGCATTATCTCAAGCAATATTGCACACACACATAACAGTTATTTGACATTCAGGGAAATGGCCAAGATTGCTTCATCTAAACATAAAAACTGGAGCAAATATTAACCCCATATCTAACACAGCTGTTGGAAGTTCATATAAATGATTCTTTGTAATAATAGCAACATTAGTGAATGCAGTTCTCATTCACTAGGCATCCTCTGGCAAATTTTAACCCTAAAAATAACAGGGTTTTATTATTTCAAAATACTTGCTGAAATATAAAGCAGTTTAAGGCACATTGCTGTGTTAGATCAGCATCAGGTTATCCTGATATTGTGGGTGGGAAGGGGCAAAGTGGCAGTGGTTTGCTCAAAACAACCTAGGGCAGAGATAAAGAACCTGTGGCCTCCAGATATTGTTGGACTCCAACTCCCATCAGCCCCAGCCAGCACAGCCAGTTGCCAGGGATGATGGCAGTTGGAGTCCAACAACATATGAAGGACCACAGGGGCCCATCATTAGACCTAGACTTACCCACTGAGGCTAGTGGCATGGGGCACCAAGTTCTGGAGGGTGCCATGCAAGAGTCCAGGGAACACCGAACAAGCATGCTGAGTGAGCGAGGGTGCATGTGCCACTCTCGCTGAGCGCCAGCTCGGTTTTTTTCCTTTTAGCCCACAGATGCCAAATCCTACGGGGTGCCAGAAGGCTAAAAGGGAAAAAAAAGAGCTGACGCTTGGCAGGAGTGGCTCACTCGGTGTGTTGCCTGTTGTGGCCACCGCGGCACGAAGCAGCCAGATGAGCCAGGAGGTGCTGCGTCCAGCCTCCGCCTCTTCTCCGCCGGAGGAGCTGCCCTCCAGCCGCTGCCCGCCTCCTCCAGCCCAAAAAAAAGGTCAACTCTGGGAAAGGGAGGGGGCGCTGGAGGGATCTTTGCACCACGGCGCTGGCTATGCTTAAGACGGTCCTGCCTAGTGAGTTTGGAGCAAAGATGAGCCTAGCTCATTAATGACATTTATATCCCATGTATTCTCCAAAGAACTCAAGATAAGTGTACATAGTTCTCCCTTCCTTCATTTTATGTGGACACCACCATTTTATGTGGACAACCCTGTGAAGTAGGTTAGGCTGAGAGATGGTTAACTGGCCGTGAGCTTTGTGGCTGAATGAGGACCTAAACCCTGATCTGCTCAATCCTGGTCCCACAGTCTGGCCATGACACCACCATAGCTCTATGGAATTCATTCATAGCCTCTATGCCATACTAGTTCTGCTGTGCCATCTTAACAAAACACTTTCAGCATGCTTAAGCACGCTTAAGGCCTTTGAAGTCAACACAAGTAAGCAGTGCCATTTTTCTAGAAAAAGAGGTATTGGAACTCACCATTAACACCTCCCTCGTTCTCTTAGAATGGCAATGGCACCCATCCAAAAAGTGCCTGAACTGAGTTCCGGCAAGTTCCAGCTGGAAAAAATGCCCCGCACTTAAGCATGCTTAAATTTGTTTTTACAAATCAACAGCCACAGTCTAACTACTGCTCATGTAGATTATGGAGCAACATAATACCTGTTTAGTATGGAAGCGACGCAAGAGCAAAATGCCCAATGGCATAACTCAAAGTCACAGAGAACATGAATTATTTTGTTTCTGCTATAAATGCGACAAAAACCTCTTTTTTAAAAACAAATCAGACAAAAGTTATAGCTCCATAAAGCCTGCTTGCATTTTCCGTCTCTCAGGAGCATTATACTAGAGAGGATAAATAGGTCTTGTCTGAATCCTGGTTGTTGGGGTTTTTTTTGCCAAGTGCAACAATGGAAAGCTAGACAAAGAAATCTGAACACTGGAGATGTTTCCCACCCGCTACAAAATACTGTAAGGCTGCAATCCTACAGAGGAGGTTGCAGGGGGCACAGGACTTCATCTCTGAGGCTGGAGAGGGAGCAGCAACCCAGAAAAGGTAGTTCTGATGTCAGACATGCTGTAAGAATGCTCTTGCCTACTGATGTTGGATGCGGGTGGCACTGTGGTCTAAATCACAGAGCCTAGGGCTTGCCGATCAGAAGGTCGGCAGTTTGAATCCCTGTGACGGGGTGAGCTCCTGTTGTTTGGTCCCTGCTCCTGCCCAGCTAGCAGTTCAAAAGCATGTCAAAGTGCAAGTAGATAAATAGGTACCACTCCGGCGGGAAGGTAAACAGAGTTTCCGTGCGTTGCTCTGGTTTCACCAGAAGAGGCTTAGTCATGCTGGCCACATGACCTGTGGAAGCTGTATGCTGGCTCCCTCGGCCAGTAAAGTGAGATGAGCACCGCAACCCCAGAGTTGTTTGCAAATGGACCTAATGGTCAGGGGTCCCTTTACCTTTACTGATGTTGGAGCTCCAGTGCTGGTATGGCCAAAAGGGGTTGCGCCTCAAAGACAGTTCAAGAGTGTGTTGTGACAATATCAGGGGAAGGCACTGAGGCATCAGATCAAGGCCTGCATTTTAAAATGAGCTTAAAAAATATATTTGCAAATGTTTGTATGTCTCATGCCAGGCATAAAGCAGCTGGCTAGGTACTTTGGCAGATGTTTATCTCCTTGAACAGCCCCCCGATTTATAACAGGAGACACGTTTCTTAAAGTTGTAAAAGGAAATTACAGGCTGGGAGCAAAAGGTCATATTGACCATACAAATTACAGAATACAATCAAGCTGCAAAAACACTAATTAAGAGTTGGTAAATAGTAAAATTTATTGTAATACCATGTGCCTCCCATTAGACTTGAGCCACATCTTCCTAAGGTTAAAGGGCAAGAGCTAATAGAAACAGCAGCTGGCTTGAAAGGGGAGTTGTAAATTGAAGAAGTTGCTTTTAGAAACAGCAGCTGGCTTGAAAGGGGGGTGTAGATCTAAGGGGTTGCTTTTGGAAACTGTTTTTATTAAAGTTCCTTTTTACTTTGAAAAGGCCTTTCCTTCTAAAAATCTATCTATGTTATGTATGAAATATATTGGCTTAAATGTAATTATGCAAAGGATTTAGAAAGTAAGAAATGTTAGATTCTTATGTTAGATTCTTATTTCATTGATGGTGTGTGAGAAGATGAACCCAAGATCTCTGTTTAAGATAAAAATTAAAACCATTAGCCATCTGTTCTGGAGTGAATAGGGCAATAGGGCAATAGGGCAAAAAGGTTATCTGGTAATTAAGGTGCCTGGTCGAGGCAAATGTAAGATATATGGCTACTTGTCTGCCATTTATGGATAGAAGGAAATATAGCTCTTTGTCTCCCATAAAAGGTAATAGGAAATGGGTGTATCTTTTATGATTGGTTCTAGCAAACAGCCAATAGGAATTTCAACCAGGCTGATTGGACAGAGGCAGCCAAAGGAGGAGCAAGGGGGCTGGGCTGAGGAAATATAAGTGCTGGCCATCAGGGCTGGAGTGGGCAGAGCTTTGGTATCCATATACCACTGTGTCTCTCATTTATTTGTCTGACAAATAAATTATTATTTTAATTTCTCTATTGCTGCGTTGAATATTTCATTCCAGCTAAGCGTTAACCACAAGCAGGGTGCTACAGCACTAGATTCAATAGGTCATTGGAACATGGGCATCTGGATTTTATTGAGTCACTGGTCCATCTAGTTTAATGGACAACATGCCTGCGTACAGCTCCGCAGGGGGCATTCCCTTTTTTTTTTTTTTTTTAATAATTTTTTATTAAGGTTTTACACAAAGAAAAAAGAAAAACAACACACACAAAAAAAAACAATACAAAATTTAACAATAAAAACACATAACATAACAGTTAAAAACAAACTCTCTTTTCCATTCCCAATTTTAAATTACTTATTTTCTGGACTTCCTCATACCTCCCTCTTTTGTATTCCAATTTGCATTATTTGTCCAGCAGTTTCTTTTCCACTTTTTTAAACCCAATCTTTAATTTAATAGGATATTAAAATATATAACTTCAACTTTTTTAAACATAATCCTTGTTCTTAATGTCATATACCTTTAAATTTTCCCCTTTTATTATTAAATTTCCATTTCTTTAAACATCTTTAATCTTGATCTTTAATCTTAATCTATCCTTAACTTTAACCTGTACAGCTGGAAACCACTTATTTTCGGTCCAACATCACTCTAACATTCCTTAATTTTGCAGTGTTTCTGAAGATAGTCTTTGAATTTCTTCCAGTCTTCCTCCATCGACTCTTCTCCCTGGTCACGGATTCTGCCAGTCATTTCCGCCAATTCCATATAGTCCATAAGTTTCATCTGCCATTCCTCCAGCGTGGGAAGTTCTTGTGTCTTCCAATACTTTGCGATGAGTATTCTTGCTGCTGTTGTTGCATACATAAAGAAAGTTCTATCCTTTTTAAAAACCATTTGGCCCACTATGCCCAGGAGAAAGGCAACTGGATACTAGGGAAAGGTATACTTAAATACCATTTATAAATCATTATATATCATTTCCCAGAAAGCCTTAACCTTTGGGCACGTCCACCAAAGGTGAAAAAATGTACCTTCAGTTTCTTTACATTTCCAACATTTGTTATCGGGCAAGTGATAAATTTTCGCAAGCTTGACTGGGGTTATGTACCACCTGTATATCATTTTCATAATATTCTCTCTTAAGGCATTACATGCCGTAAATTTCATACCAGTGGTCCATAACTGTTCCCAGTCAGCAAACATAATGTTATGTCCTACGTCCTGTGCCCATTTAATCATAACCGATTTTACCGTTTCATCTTGAGTATTCCATTTCAGCAGCAAGTTATACATTCTTGACAAATTCTTAGTATTGGGTTCTAACAATTCTGTTTCTAATTTTGACTTTTCCACCTGGAAGCCAATTTTCCTGTCTAATTTAAATGCCTCCATTATTTGATAATAATGAAGCCAGTCTCGCACTTTGTTTTTAATTTTTCAAAACTCTGCAATTTCAGTCTATCTCCGTCTTGTTCCAAAATTTCCCAATATTTCGGCCATTTGACCTCCATATTGACCCTTTTCAAGGCTTTTGCTTCCATTGGTGACAGCCACCTTGGGGTTTTATTTTCTAGCAAATCCTTATATCTTATCCAAACATTAAATAGCGCTTTCCTGACAATGTAGTTTTTAAATGCTTTGTGTGCTTTGACCTTATCATACCATAAATATGCATGCCATCCAAATACATTATTGAAACCTTCCAAATCCAAAATGTCAGTGTTTTCAAGAAGTAGCCATTCTTTCAACCAGCAAAAAGCTGCTGATTCATAATAAAGTTTAAGGTCTGGCAGGGCAAATCCACCTCTTTCCTTTGCATCTGTTAATATTTTAAATTTTATTCTAGGTTTCTTGCCCTGCCAGACAAATTTAGAAATATCTTTCTGCCACCTCTTGAAACAGTCCATTTTGTCCACAATCTGCAAAGTTTGAAACAAAAACAACATTCTAGGCAGTACATTCATTTTTATCGCAGGGGGCATTCCCAGCCCTATCTGCAGATGAATGGAATTGAGCCTGGAACCTTCTGCATGCAAAGCAGATTGCTTACCACTGAGTTATGGCCCTTCCTCAATCCAATGCCCTCCCAGCCCCCTAGATAATTCCACCAAACCTGGGGGAGATGTTTATGCCATCTCAGATGTAAATTAATCACTCCCTTTTATTGTTCTCTAGTGGGGCGGGGTTAAGGGCTGGTAAGAAATGGAAAAGCTTCTCTGTTCTCTCCTGGGCTTTCGCTCCGCACTCTTCTGGGCTTTGGATGCGACTTCAGATACCCCCCACCCCTTAGGAATGCAAAGCAAATCTTTCTTGTCTGGAGGAATGTCTGCAACCAAATGGCTGCACATGTGTATCTGCATTCCCATTTGCAATTTTTGGGGACTCCTTTCCTCCACAGCCTTTCATGTGCCCCACACAACACCTCTGAAGATCAAAAGACCCATGTGATGCAATGGAAGTGGACAACAATCAGAAATGCAATTTGGTTTAGACACTTAACCTTTGACACATTCAACCTCAAGGAATTAGTTGGGCCAGAATTCCCACATAAATAAACTTGCTAGGTCTGCATCTCCTGGACTGATGTACGGATTGGAACTTGGTTCTCCTGAGGATTTTGCATTACAACAACTTGCACAAGGTGCACTGAGGGGAAGGATGGGGGAGAAACTGGACTCAGCTCGTGATTTAATGTAAACCTACATAATTCACACACCCCAAAACAATATGCAAGCTGAAATACAGCTATCCTTCAAATCTGACTTTTTCAAATTTTTGAAATGTAGCAGAATGGGCTTCAAAACCAAAAATGGCAAAAGTGATATGAACCCGAATGAGACGGACACATCTGTCCCTAGTATTATTGTCCTGAAGATATTTAAGATTTGGAGCTCCAATATTGGCAGGCTCGCCAAAGGCCATCGAGCGAACTGATGGCTGAAATTAATTTTGAAGAGAGGACTTTAGACTAATAGCTTATTTTATTAACAAAGACATTGTGCCAGCTCTCTAATAAACAAGTCGCTTGGTTTGCTTAATCTTTTGCATACATCTGCCTGCCATGCATATTTAACAGAGATCCTATCTAAGGTTCTCTCGCTTGCCTTCCAATTTGTCCTCCTGTTATGGACTTGTGGCCAGAGATATCCGTATGCTGCATGGAGTATTTGTTTATATGCTTGAATAAATGCCTTATGTGAAACTAGCTTTCTCTGCATTTGCTTATATAGATGAGGAACACAGGAAAATGCCATTTATTTATCAAGTCAGACCATTGGTTCATCTCACTTAGTGCTGTCGATACTGACTGGCAGCTTCTCTCAAGAGTTTCAGTCAGGAAAGTCTTTTTTCAGTCCCACCTGGAAAAATGACATAAATCGAACCCAGCACCTTTTGCAGGCAAAGCATGAGCTACTGCCCTTCCACATTGTGCCTGAGAAAACAGGATTGACAGACCTGATATTTATGCCTTCTAGAATATTTCATAGATTAATATTTCTGTCTTTTGCATACAACTGCTTGACTGAAGTGTCAATGCGTTGAAGTCATTAAGACCTAAAGGACTAGTGTGAAAAACAAAACGGCATTCAGAAACCCAGAACCAATTACGCTGTAGAAGTAGTTGTTATGAAATGTGTCGCTAGAAACACATTTTTTAAAAGAGAGAGAAAGAAGTATGTTTGTGTCCCTGTAACTCTTCATGGTCTGTTGCGCAGGCTCATAATTTCCGCGCAATTGCCCATCAAATTACAAGGAGCCGATATATTCCCGCTTAGTCTCGGGACTAGCGCTCTGTTCATTACAAAGCAAACACTGATATGATGAATGGATTTTAAGTTAACTGCTTTTTTTGCAGCAAGAAAGTACTGGGAGATGTTTTGTTTAAGGGTCAGTCCTAAGAGAGACGAGTGAGGCTGTTCCCATCTGGGGCTTCTTAGTCAGAGCTTATCCTCAGGAGATCAGCTTGTTCTTGAGACATTTCATCCTTTGCAACTAGAGGGGTTTTAAAAGTCCCAGGCAGATTACAAAAAAAAAGGAAAAGAAAAGAAAAACCATGTAAAACAGACAGAGCAATCCTAGAGGGGGGTTAGAGAGGAGTCGAGTGGTAGATCCATGGCCTTGTCCCAGCTCCTGGTGGCTAATGCTGGCATGAGGGAAGGTAATGATTCTGTCTTCCTTTTCACTACACTGTTGAAATAAGGATAGCGCAATCACAGCTAAGAAGCACAAATCACATATGTGACTGAAACCCTTCTTTGGAAATTAAACCAACGTCTAGACTTTAAACTTTACTTGCAGAAACTTATAGCTATAGATGAGTTAAAACATAATATCTATAAAGGTAAAGGGACCCCTGACCATTAGGTCCAGTCGTGGCCGACTCTGGGGTTGCGGCGCTCATCTCGCTTTATTGGCTGAGGGAGCCGGCGTACAGCTTCCGGGTCATGTGGCCAGCATGACTAAGCCGCTTCTGGCAAACCAGAGCAGCGCACGGAAACACTGTTTACCTTCCCGCCGGAGCGGTACCTATTTATCTACTTGAACTTTGACGTGCTTTCGAACTGCTAGGTTGGCAGGAGTGGGGACCGAGCAACGGGAGCTCACCTCGTCGCAGGGATTCGAATCGCCGACCTTCTGATCGGCAAGTCCTAGGCTCTGTGGTTTAACCCACAGCGCCACCCGCGTCCCATAATATCAATAAAGGTAAAGGGCCTCTGACCATTAGGTCCAGTCGTGACCGACTCTGGAGTTGCGGCGCTCATCTTGCTTTATTGCCCGAGGGAGCCGGCGTACAGCTTCCGGGTCATGTGGCCAGCATGACTAAGCTGCTTCTGGCAAACCAGAGCAGCGCACGGAAATGCCATTTACCGTATTTTTTGCTCTGTAAGACTCACTTTTTCCCTCCTAAAAAGTAAGGGGAAATATGTGTGCGTCTTATGGAGTGAATGCAGGCTGCACAGCTATCCCAGAAGCCAGAACAGCAAAGGGATTGCTGCTTTCAGTGTGCAGCGATCCCTCTTGCTGTTCTGGCTTCCGAGATTCAGAATATTTTTTTTCTTGTTTTCCTCCTCCAAAAACTCGTTGCGTCTTGTGGTTTGGTGCATCTTATAGAGCAAAAAATACGGTACCTTCCCGCCGGAGCGGTACCTATTTATCTACTTGCACTTTGACGTGCTTTCAAACTGCTAGGTTGGCAGGAGCAGGGACCAAGCAACGGGAGCTCACCCCGTCGCGGGGCTTTGAACCGCCGACCTTCTGATCGGCAAGTCCTAGGCTCAGTGGTTTAACCCACAGCGCCACCCGCATCATAATATCTATAGTCACATGCTTATCCAAGCATGGGCTCACAGTCTCTTCTTCCAACTTCCAAACAGCTGTATTTTCCTGCCTTTCCAGAGCTCAATCACTCAGCCTCCTGTGTCTCAGTTAGGCCATGCCTTGCAGCTCCTATGAGAGATTTCCACTTTTACCTTCTCCTGCAGCTTTTCTCTCTTTCCTTCAAGCAGAGAAGTGCTCCAACACTCTATTCAACTTAGCAGTGTTCACAGCTATCGATGGCTACTGTCCATGATTTGGCTACACTTCTGAATACCAGTTGCTGGAAACCACATGAAGGGAGTAGACTCTTGTGCATGAATCCTGCCCCAAACCCGCCCACATTGTTAGCCCCACAGCATGTTAAATTCTTAGCAAGGGAGAAAAGCTAATGATAACTTTTCTTCCTGGCTTAGTAGCTGCTTGGGGAGAATGTTTTGTTGGAACCATTGTGAGGATCGAAAGGGTTTCAACCACCTCTCCCTGCATGCAGTGATCCTGATAAAAGTTACACAGACACTCGTCCCCAAGGGAACCCGATTTTATTTTATTTATTTTAAAAAACCGCAGTTGTGATTCCAAGTGACGCGTTTAGCATCATGTCTAGTTTGGCTCCCGGTAGCACCTGTACAGAAGGCAGCACTGGGAAGAGAAAGTCCCTTCCAGATGATGCTGCAGATGAAATTCTCTCTAGAGTTGACCTAGGTAACTACTTAAATTGCATTCAGGTGAAATTAACTTTGAATCTATGCAGGCAGAAATGATAAATTGCTTGAAACAGACAGAAAATGATTTTGGAGGCTCAGAGAATGGCATAACTCTTCGGCTTCTGGGTCTAGCTCGTGTGTGTGTGTGTGTGTGTGTGTGTCCATCCTCTCTAAGCATCCACTTAGACACTGCTGTGTTCTGTAGGTAAACAACAGTATACTGTTCCACCTTTTACCAGTTAGCTGCTCAACATCAGTTTCACATTACCAAGTACAGTGGTACCTCAGGTTACAGACACTTCAGGTTACACACTCCGCTAACCCAGAAATATTACCTCGGGTTAAGAACTTTGCTTCAGGATGAGAACAGAAATCACGCGGCGGCAGCGGGAGGCCCCATTAGCTAAAGTGGTGCTTCAGGTTAAGAACAGTTTCAGGTTAAGTACGGACCTCCAGAACGAATTAAGTACTTAACCTGAGGTACCACTGTAATGTGTTGCATATAAGCAACTTTGCATACCTCCAGTCAGCAGAGGGAAGTGCTGAGACAAACAGTCAGGGCAAAACACACTCTCTGGTTTCCTGCCAAACTGCCAAGCTCCACTCTTCCTTGCTCTCTCTCTTCCTCTCTCCTGCAGGAAGTGGCCATGAGAAACTAGTTCTCACCATGTAGGGTTAGTATCCAGTCATATCTGTGAATATGAAGAAACTAAGTAAAGCACCTTTATCCATGGGATATCTGCATGTTTTATTTACTTTTTCTAAGCAACACTAGTGTTGTGTGAATGAGACAGAACAGGTGGTTTGAGGGGTTGGGTCGATCCAACTCCCAAACTTTTGATTCTGCTATATAAACCACAAACCAATTCATTTCAGCAGCTGTTAATTTCACTTCTCAATAAAATATTTGATCGGCGAAGCTTCAAAAAGCCTCTGGGTTCTATTCCTAACGTGTGTTTTCTGAACCTCATGCTTGGCTTGCTTTCACAAGGCACCATGTGTAAAGAATTGCTGCCTTTTGTGGACAGTAAAAACAGTTTGCATTTAAGTGAGTGGCTAAAATTAAGACCTATCAAACTGCTCCAGCAGTTGTGAGTGTTGAGCAGCCAGTTGAGTCATCTAATATCAAATATTTCAAGCCAATTTTTCCATAAGATTGCAGACGGTGATAAATGGATCTAGTTACTGAGAACTGCAGGGCTTACCCCACTTCCATAAAAGTTGCTTGATGTTTTGGGACATAATTCTGCCACAGCAGACAGCAAAACAAATACCTTTGTTTTGAAGAGAAGATGAACTGCAGCTGAAGAGAAACAATGTGTCATGCAGCAAATACAGGCTCAAATGGATAATAATGCCTTCTTGCAACCCTATTGCTCGGTTAGTTTCAGATCCCCCACAGCAGGTGTTATCAGCCAGCACAGCACAGCAGCACATGCAAGACTATTTCAGCACCTACATCTGTCTCCATTTCCTTCCTTTTCCCAATTATCCTCCCATGAACTTGAATCTCCCTGGGAACCAAGAGGAGGCACAAACGTGAGAGGGAAAGTCCTTATTTGGTTTTAAATGAGTCATTTTCTTGGGCTTTGTATCAAGAAAAAATCTGGATATAGAAACCTAAATTGCCAAAAGTTAATAAATGGTCCTAGTTACGTGATGCACTTAATTCAAACACATCCACACACAGTGAAAACTCTTCAACTGATTGGTTTCTCCTTGGCTTTGCATTTTGAAAACAGATGACACTTACTTGTAACTCAGTTACCTTGAGCTCTCAAATTCCAGTGGCGCCCTGTACAACGCTGAAATTGGTGCTGTCTGCCTCTCATGCTCTGTTCTACAGCATTGCTGTGGTGCGCCTGCAGTGTGGTGCCCAGTGCGACTGCACCGGTTGTGCTATCCTAGAACAGCCTCTGCCAAGGTTGCATATTTCTGTAAACAAAACCGTATTTGTGTTGTGTGGGATGTTTGGAAACATTCCAAAGAACCATTTCCTCTTCAAATTGCACAACAGATGCTATGATCAAGCATGGGGTCTGAGTGCCTTAATGTTGATGCTAAGCCTAAAAATGTTCAGCAAATACAAATACAAAAAGTAATGAGAGGATGAACCTCAAGGGAAGTATACAAAAGGTATTTCCAGATTACCTGTTTACAGAGAGCAGTCATTCTGATTTGTTTGCAGGGAAGTAAGATGAGGTTGCATCAAATCAAGTGTTATCTCACACTTCCCAGTGCATTTCCCATCACTTTTCTGTCTACAATCCATCTGAACTTTTGAGGAAGCAGGTTTGCTGTGCAAGACCCTCCAATCAACTGTATCCCGAATTTGCCCATAGATGAGTGAACCCCATCAGAAAATAGCAACAGCCTGGAAGCATCCTTAAATAAAAAGGTTCTGCTGCTTTGGAGGTTGAACTTTAGGGTAATAATATTTGAGAGCTGGGTAGCTGATGAAAATTCTTGAGGGGGCGATTGGGAAAGGGAAGGAGGAGGTTTAAAGTTCCTATTCCATTAATTAATTATCTATTCTATGATTTCTCATGTCTCCCACTCAAAAGACATCCTCTCCCCTTCCAAAACTATACACTTCTTGAGGATGAGATGCTATTTTTAAAAATCACTTCTTTGAATTGTAGACAGGAATATGGCTACTTTACAGAAGTAGGTACAAATACTTGAAATATAAGCTTTTCAAAGCATCAGGGAATGTGCAGAGAGAAGGCAAGGAATGGGCAGAGAGAAGTTCAGGTGGCGAGAGTGTTTCCTGAAAAAGACTTCAATGCAGATTTAGACTTGTTTTTAAATTTTTATTATTATTAATTAAGTAATTTATATCCCTTAATAATTAGCATTTCTAAGTGGTGTGGAGATGAAGCATCCCAAGACCAGTGGAAGACTGGCTATGCATGTTGGAGCCGGAAGGTTGAGACAATGGTCTTTTCCAGATTGCTTTCCAGATGTTGAGGGCATCCTTCAGCCAAATTACCAAGAACATTACTCTGGTCTTACAGAGGCAGGACATTATGCTGGCACTGACCTTCTATGAGCTGGCTTCCAATGAGGGGCCCTTGCATCTCAGCCTTACCTTCAGGGTAGGTAAATCCATCACTTGTGAGATCTTCAGAGAAACTGTCCATGAACTGAACAAACTGTATCTTGCAGATGTGATAAATGTGAGAGATGGACGGAAAGTCACCCAAGTCTTTCACGAGCTCATCTTCCAGCAGGTAGGTCGTCTTGGTTGGTGAATCCATCCCATAGATGCTTTTTAGTTCCCAAGGGGCACAGGCCAGAATACTACAATTATAAGTGTTTCTACAGCATGGTCCACCAGTCAGTGGTGGACACCAAAAAGGAAGATTAGTGGACACTGGTATTTATGAGAGAAACCATGACACAGCCATCTTCTGGATATCTTTTTCTTTAACCTCTCCTTCTCTGGCCTGGCAGTGCTAGTCAGTGGAGTTGCAGTGTTTCTCCTTATCTTCACAGATGAAGCATTTGCCATGCAACCCTGACTGATGGCTCTCTACAAGTCTCCAGGGTTCAACATCAACAGGAATTTCAGCCACTATCATAGTAGAGCATAGTAGTCTACCTGTGGAGCAAGCCTTTGGGCACTTAAAAGCAAGGAAGGAATGCTAATATCTCCCTCTCTGTTTCCAATGGCTGGAATCATGTCAGGGAAGCACTTGGCTGATTTTGCTATTAGATGGAGTGACAATGGGGTTCAAGCTCTGGGCTGGATTCCATGAATTCCTAAACCCCATCATTTGGAACAAACTCAGCTTTTCTAAGATGATGTACCAATGAAACAGGAAACAGACGATGATGTCTCTTTCCAGAACCTGGAAAGAGTTTTCACTATTATTTTATTTACTGTATATCTGGCAACACAGTGTGCACATAACTCTCTCTCTGGTAAGCACTGATGTTTTCAAACTGCTGTCTAAAATATGTTGTAAATCCTTCATCTCCATCTGGCAACTAGGTTAAAAATAAACTCCCCCAAGGATTCAAATATTGGAGTCAATGAAAATTACACACAAACACACACATTCTGTCCAGACACAGGGAACAATGACTGCCACGCACCGTAATATAGTGGTGGGAACTTGCGTTCCGATGGATGTTGCTGGATTACAACTCCCATCTTCCCTGACCATTGGCCGTGCTCACTGGGACATATGGTAGTCAGCTGGAGCACAACATTGGAGGGCCACAGGTTCCCCATTTCTGGAAAAGTAGATTACAGACTGAGAAGGTACTACCATTACATTCTGAATGGCAAACTAGGCAACACATTTAACTCAGTGCAAATGGGAATGTTTGCAAAGGGAGCAGTGAGTGTCTCTTGTTCTCATTCTCAAGAAGCCCTCAGTCTCCCAGAGACCAGAAGAGACCAGCTTGGGCGTCATCAGCGCAGCCCTCATACAGTTTCCTTTGTATCCCAGGCCAGAAGTTTGTGCCTTTGGTTTCTTGTGCATGCCTTCTGTCAACCCCTACTTGACCATTTCAGGGAAATCACATTTCTGCCCCACCCCAAATAGTTAAAGTAATTCCAATTTCTTTGGTTGGTTTTAATTCCTTTTTTGCGTAGGATTGTGGGTGCAGGCTTCCTGAGCAAAATAGTTCCATTTAATTTGTCAATTGTACCCTCTGCATGGAGAATCTGATGCAAGATTGCATCGAGGTCACAGTGACACTGCAGAAATCCATTTAGCTGCTGCAAGGTCTTCCAGCATATACACCCTCTGGCGCTGGGAAAAATAGGTGGTGGGCCTTGATTGGCTAAAGGAGAAATCTGCCCTCCTGGATACAGGTCTTCCTGTAGAAAAACTGGTCTTTGGCCTGGGTCTAATGGCTCCCATTTGGATGAAGGATTGTGTTGTAATCACATGTGCCTATATGCACCTTGTCCATGAATCTAATGGCTCATGTGAAGGTGAGGCAAGTTGACTTTGTTATTGTTGATCTGTACCTGAATTCCCAATGGCAATTCCAAGGTAAAGGGTTTTGTTTGGTTTGTAATCTCTAAATCAGGGGTCAGCAAACTAAGGTCCGCAGACTGGATCAGGCCCAATTGCCTTCAGGATCCGGCCTGCGGACTGTCTGTGGATCGGCGTGGGGATTCTGTTCATTCGGGCTGCGCCATTTTTTTTACTGAGCCATTCCATCCCCCCTCCCTCACACACACCACAGCGGTGCCTCCTCCCTCCCTCCTCCCGGCTTCTCCCTGCCCTGCCTAGAGGAGGAAGGGGGCTGGGCTGAGCTGGCTGAGCACCATTTTAAGCAGCCTCTCTCTGGAGCCAGCCCTTTCACATCGTTCATCTTCCCCCCGCCACCGCTGCCCTGGTGCTCCTGTGGGCCAGAGAGCGGAGCGGATGAGCTCACTCTGCCTGCCCACGAGAAGCAGCAGCAGCAGTGGTGGTGGTGGCGGCAGCCCCTGGGAAGGTGTAGTGGAAATGCGGGAGACAATTTTACTTCGAGGAGTTAGGTGGCATGTCCCTTTCCCTTTAACATCCCCAGTTTGAGGTCTGCTGGATTCTTGTGTTTCACACACCTGTTGGGAGTTTATTGGGTTCTTCTGTGTTGCAAGTGCTGCAGGTAGTGGGAGACTCTCAGCCGCTCTGCATTAATCATGAGTAATGCCAGGTGCACTTGATTACATCAAGGCAGGCTATAAAAGCCATAGGTGGGAGGGGCCCAGTGAGCTTTTGCCCAGATCAAAGGACCTGATGCTGGGAGACTGATGGTCAGGATCTTTCTCCTGCTGCTCTACCTGGGGCTCCGGGCAGCTGAAGGGGAGATTGGGTAGCCCCTGTTGGGTATGTTTTATGTTCTGCTTTGTATGCCTGCTGTTTATTTGTTAACAAAACTGTTTTGGTTCCCCTTCCACCTCCTCTCTCCTTTTGCCCTGATCTCCTTGGAAAGAACTGCTGTATTTGGCAGCACAGAAGGTAAGCGCAGCAGCTGGGGCTGGGGAGGAGGACTACTTGCCCCCCTCACCTCTTCCAGCCCCCCCCCCCGTGCTGCTTCTCTGGCCTGCCACAAGGTCTGAGGGACAGTGAAGCAGCCTGCGGCTAAAAAACTTTGCCAACCCTTGCTCTAAATAAAGTATTTGCAATTGTTCCTTGAATCCGGCTCTGAATCTAGTAACCGGGCGCTTGGTTATTGGTACTGAGTAACTTGTGGACTCAAAGGTCAAGGAGTGAACCTTTCATAACTTCCAACATTTTCGTACCCAAAATTGAGATTTCAGGAGGGCTATGCCTATGAGGGACATGGGGTGAGCTCCCGTTGCTCGGTCCCTGCTCCTGCCAACCTAGCAGTTCGAAAGTATGTCAAAGTGCAAGTAGATAAACAGGTACCGCTCTGGTGGGAAGGTAAACGGCGTTTCTGTGCGCTGCTCTGGTTCGCCAGAAGCGGCTTAGTCATGCTGGCCACATGACCCGGAAGCTGTACGCTGGCTCCCTCGGCCAACAAAGCGAGATGAGTGCCACAACCCCAGAGTCGGTCACGACTGGACCCTAATGGTCAGGGGTCCCTTTACCTTTATGCCTTCTGGTGCTGGTCAGCAGGGTGTGCCAGAACACTAGCGCGACCCTGCTGACTCGCACCAGAGTGAGTGTCTTTTGGTCCGGTGCTCTGGTGCAAGGACTTACCCCAGAGCACCAGACCAAAAAACAGGACATTCTGGGATCCAAACAGAAGCTGGGATTGGCTTTTGTGGTCCAGGATGTCCCACTCTAAACGGGACACTTGTAGGGTAAGGCCTTTGGCTCATGGCAAATCCCAAGGATGTCCAGAAACAAATCTGAGTGTCTCTGACTCAGATTTGGGGACTTTTCACGGGGGTGGTGGCAGAACTCCCTGGCAGGATGGTTTCCCTTGGGCATCATGTGGCTGCAGGGCAAACCTCATGCCCCTCCCTTTTGGTAGGGATGCAGCATTGGGGAAATGGCCCTGGGCAGAGCAGGGGGGCACCTCCTTGCTTACACCCTGGCAGAGGTGAAATTAAAATAAGGGAAATCGTACTACCATCTGCTTCCTTACATTCTTTGGCAATGTGGGATCATAGACTGGGCTCCATCAACCAGAGGTGGGAGTAGGGGGTAAACCCCACTTCTTTACAGTACAGTGGTACCTCAGGTTACAGACGCTTCAGGTTAGACTCCGCTAACCCAGAAATAGTACCTTGGGTTAAGAACTTTGCTTCAGGATGAGAACAGAAATCACGCAGCGGTGGCAGCGGGAGACCCCATTAGCTTAAAGTGGTACCTCAGGTTAAGAACAGTTTCAGGTTAAGAACAGACCTCCACAACGAATTAAGTTCTTAACCCGAGAGCCAGTGTGGTGTAGTGGTTAAGAGCGATAGACTTGTAATCTGGTGAACCAGGTTCGCGTCCCTCTCCTCCACATGCAGCTGCTGGGTGACCTTGGGCTAGTCACACTTCTCTGAAGTCTCTCAGCCCCACTCACCTCACAGAGTGTTTGTTGTGGGGGAGGAAGGGAAAGGAGAATGTTAGCCGCTTTGAGACTCTTTAGGGTAGTGATAAAGCGGGATAGCAAATCCAAACTCTTCTTCTTCTACCACTTTATATTTTACACATCAGGAGCCTGCTTCGCCATTGTGTTCCCTTTGGAGACTACGCTGCCAAAGCAGCACCCAGCAGGACTGACCCCTGCCCAGGGGCACTGGGTGATTGACAGGTGGGCATGGTTTGTGGGAAATGGGTTTTGTGGGCCATGCCTGGCCTTTGAGCCAGAGGTTTTCCCACCCAAGGATGCTTGGTTTTGGCAAATTACTGAAAGAGCCATTGTTGTGCAGTGCATATGTTCATTCCCCCATCTTCCTTTATTGCCTCTGATTAAACAAGTTTTGCAGGTTTTTGATGCACTTCAAAAACCTTAAAACCCCTTTGATGGCCAGAGATCACAGCAGAACAAAAATAATGTGGGTATTGCAGGCAACAATGGCTCAAGTGATCCACAGAGCTCTCATTCGTACTATTTATACAGTGCATTTCCAAGTGATCTAAGTGTTTCATGTATTTTATCCAAGTAACCTTTACAATGGGACGCGGGTGGCGCTGCGGGTTAAACCACAGAGCCTAGGGCTTGCCAATCAGAAGGTCAGCGGTTCGAATCCCCGCGACGGGGTGAGCTCCCATTGCTCGGTCCCTGCTCCTGCCAACCTAGCAGTTCCAAAGCACGTCAAAGTGCAAGTAGATAAATAGGTACCACTCCGGTGGGAAGGTAAACGGCGTTTCTGTACACTGCTCTGGTTCGCCAGAAGCGGCTTAGTCATGCTGGCCACATGACCTGGAAGCTGGACGCTGGCACCCTTGGCCAATAAAGCGAGCGCCGCAACCCCAGAGTCGGCCACAACTGGACTGGTCAGGGGTCCCTTTACCTTTACCTTTAAACTTTACAATAGACCCTGTGAGGGAGGCTGGGGTTGTTGCCCTCATGTTGCACAGAGGGACTGAGGCCGAGGGAATAGTGCCTTGTGCATGGCAGCCTGGTGAATTTGTGGCGTTTGAGGTGAGATCTGAATTGAGGATTTCCTGTCTGTTTTGCACTGTTAGCTGCTCTGCTGCACTAGCTCTTAATGAAGATAAATGGGCAAATCTTAATAGAGAGCATGTCTGGACTCTTTTTGGAATGTGCTTTTCTTGTCATTCTTCACGCACCGAAATACCTCGTTAGTAAGGATCTCATTATGTGGTTTTTTTTCCTTTTTCCCTCTCGTTTGGTGTCATTAGGTTAGGGCACAGTTAGAAAATATTTATGGAATTTACGAGCACCCCTTCAGTGAGCATGCTGTGCTAATGTGGCGTGGAAGCACTAGGCAAATAATAACTGTACTGAACAATGTTACTAATAGCACTTGGATAAAACAGCTGTCGATACCTGCATGACTGGTTAACTTTCTGAAGATTATATTAGAATGGCGATGAGACCGCACCAAAAGATATGAGATGTCACTGCCCCCTAGTGGCCGTGGCTCTAAGTGTCTTTTCTTTAAAGGTCTATAAATGGTCATTGCACCAAGGGCACAAAGGAAAAAGACAGATGTTCACGCAATTAGCCCCTGGATTCATAAAATGGTGACAAGTAATTATATAGGAAGCTGAGCATGCTGGGAAACTGAAAGGAAGTGTTCAAAGCAGTACTGAGTAAAAAGTAAATCCACAAGGGCAATTCTGCTGTGTTAGATTGGTGCAAATTCCTAAAATGATAGAGGTCATCAGATGGCAGGCAACCATTTTATTTAAAACATTTACCGTATTTTTCCGTGTATAACATGCCCCCATGTATAAGACGCCCCCTATTTTTGGGAACTCAAAATTAAGAAAATGGGGGGAGATGGCCCCCATGTATAAGACTAAACCCCCTTTTTTAACATTATTTTTTAGTAAAAAAAACCTAGCCACAGCCAAAAAAACCACAGAAAAGTACAGTATATAATAATTAAATAATAATAATGTACCCCGCCCATCTGACTGGATTGTTCCAGCAACTTGGGACAGCTTCCAACATATACAGAAACACAACAACAACACAACAAAACAAAACATCACACATTAAAAGCGTCTCAATACAGGGCTGCCTTCAGATGTCCATGGAAGGTCGCATAATTATTTACCTCAATGACATCTGGCAGGAGCGTGTTCCACAGGGTGGGTGCCACTGGCTGGTTCTCTGTTAACCTCACTTCTTGCAATAAGAGAACTGCCAGAAGGCCCTTGGAGCTGGTCCTCAGTGTCCGGGCTGAACGATGGGGTGCAGATGCTCCCATACGACAGTCCAGCTGAAGCAATCAACCGAAAAGGTTAAGTCAAATAAAAGCAGCAGATAAAAGAGGGAGAAAAATGCAGCACTCTGTTAAAGGATCTGGAGAATTTAGAAGGTGCATAAGGGCACACGGGTGTTGATGCTTCACAAGCCTGTCTGGGAAGACCTTTCTGCAATCATGGCAACACCACGGCAAAGGTCTGCTCCCTGGTTACCAGCTTCTTAACCTGTGACACCGGATCCCCCAAAGGAGTGGCTCTAAAATAGCTTTCAAAGGCTGAGCAGGTTCTGAAGGAGTATGACAATCCTTCATGTATTACATGTCTACAGCACCTTCCTCCAAGAGCTTAAGATCACAAACTCACACACTTCATCCTTACATCCAATGGGCACTGGTCCGTTAAGGTAAACAGGTTACTGCCCCGCCAAACTCAATCTTGATTCCTCCCAAGTTCACGCACCTTCTTGCTTTACAGCTAGTCCAGAGGGTGCCCCTGGCTGTTTCCGCCTGAGTCTCAGTTTTGCCCTTGTAGAACTCGGCAGGGAGGAGGATGGGGACAAAAGTAGACTCAGCCAGCTCCGCCTGCCATTGTCTCTGGCTTCACCTGCTGTCAGCCTCCCTGCCCTCTTATGAACCAGTCCCAGCATCCACCGCTGCTCACAGCAACCATGTCAGATATGTTAGACAGAGCAGCGACTGCCCCAAGGACAGCTGGATGCTTCATGGCTAAGTATGAATTTGAGCTTGCATCTCTCTGTTTCAGGTCTTAGGTGGGCAGAGCTCAGCAGCAGAAGGCATACTTTGAAAGCAGAAGGTTGCTGGTTTGGTCCTCCAGTAAATTGCACCAGGTAGCAAACGATATGAAGCTCTCTGTCTGAGACTCTGGAGAGCTGCTGTTAGTCTGAGTAGACATTGCTGGGCAAGATGGATCAAAGATCTGACTTGGCAGAAGGTAGTTTCATAACTTCATCAAAAATGCTGCAAGCATCACTTCCCTCACTAGAAAATTGCGGAAGCTACACGGAAAATGCAAGTGGAAAAAAATGTTAATGTCTGAGCATGCATAATGTGAGATTGTTGCAGATGCTGTAGATTTAAATTGTGATCTAAGCATCTCCTATGAAAGAGCCTAGAGACTTCTAACTATGAATAATTTGGCAGGAATATGCACTGATATATATAACAACCGAAGCTACCAGTTCACAGTTAATTGCTTGCTACTTGTACATAATGTCAAAGTAATATAAAATGTAAGAGACACCAAGATGTTTACATGAATTTCTTATGCTTTTTCACTTTCTTAGATAATCTGACGTGCTATTCTAAAAGCTGAAATGTCAAGCATGGTTTTTCCTGGGTGATAACAATAGACATGCAAATATCTTCGACAAGTTCCGTAAGAAGGCAGCCTACCCAGACTTCCTGCAGAGATGCTGGCAAGGAATAAGAAATCCTTGAAGTGCAAAGTGTAATAATGTTATTGTCACTGTGACCTAAAAGGAACAGTTGATGTTAAATATTCACATTAATTTTTGTACATTAGCTAGGTTTTCTCAAAAACAATTCACATTGTTGAATGTTACTAAAGCCATTTGACCAAATCGATCTCGGTATACTTTCTGGAATATGCAAACTTAAGCAAAAGTCATACTTGAGGCATCAGTTTTCTTACTGTTATACACGACAGGGCAAGTGGTAGCAGCAGAGAGCTCCTTTTCAATGCCTGCCTACCAGTAATATATCCTTCCAGAATACTCCATTTCTTTCCTCTCTCCAATATTTGTTTTTGTTTTTAACCCTGACAAACACTCAACGTTCTTTGGTCACTGAGAACACTTAGTTCTTACTGATCTATTCTGGCTGCAGGCGTGGCACCAATAGGTTTTTATTTTCTTCCTATGTAGACAAAAAATGGCTCCTCCATCTTGCGAACTGCCATGCCAGATATGGCAGCAACATCTCAAGAAGTATCCAAATGCATAGAGAACAGACAGACTGACAGACAATCCACTTTGCAAAATATATACAGTAGCAGCAGATACAATACAACATGTTGTCAAATCAACGCTGAGTTTCACAGCTGTAGAAAAAAACATGAGTTAATCCCAAGCAGATGTCATCTGGTATCTGCCTAATTCATTGCTTTCGCTTGAGATTGACTCGAATGTAAACACACAAATTTAAATCAGACTTTTCAAAGGTCAGATGTTTTGGAGCCTGGGGCTTGGATATGGCTTGTTAAAGAAGTGAGCCATCTGTGAAATTCTGCTCTGTATTCTCCTTCCAGTTAAAACACACATGGATGGGTACGTTCTATGTCCCCAGCAATCCTTTCAGCAAATTGTCCATTCACATTAATGGGGATATTTCTATGCGTCCAACTGGTGTTGGAAAACTTTTCAGAAGCCATCAGGAGTTGTCATTGCCAGCCTTGGTACATGTAGCTAGAACCCTAAATCAAACCTACAGATTCACCCCGGCTCAGTTGAGTCTGCCTTGCAGCTGCAGCAAGAAGGGAAGGAAAACAACATTTTTGGCTGCAACCTAGCTCATAGTTAGACATGCACAGTTGGGCAGGCGCTACTGCTGAGCTAGGCTCATAAGAGTTTGAACTTGAGCACTAGAGTGGTGTAGTGTCAGAGTGGTGGGAGATCAGGGTTCGAATCCCTAACTGGCCATGAAGCTCACTGGTTGCCTTGAACCAGTCACTGCCTTTCAGCCTAACCTGGCTCATAGGATTATTGAGGAAATTAAATGAGAAGAACCATGTGCACCACCTCAAGTTCCTTGGGGGTTTCCAAGGTGGGATATAGACGTAATAAATAGGCAAACTTTCACAGTGCTTTCCTTCATCACCTATGCAAGCTCAGAGCTGCCTTTTCCCCTCTCGACTAGACAATGAATTGAGCTTCTTTGACCTCTAGACTTGGGATGGGGGTTCGTGGTTCTGTATCTGTTAGTCTTTTGTTGTTAGCATTACCCAAACTCCATCTGAAGCAGTTCCTATTTTGTTAAGTTTGTAAGGCGATGTGTGAAAATAATGTTGCCTTTTCCATTTCTCCTGACGGTGGCGGGATCAACTCCTGCATAACGGATATCATTGCATTCCTATATTCTTTGCTCTTGTTACCGATTCCTCACCATGAGGTAGCTATTGCCCTCAGGCAGTTTTTACTATGAGCCTTCTTTAATTGGGGTGGGAAACAAAATGAAAGATTTCAAACCGTTGTATGTTCGTGAATGACAAAGATCATCAGGAAGGCATATGTCCTATGGGGGTGGGGGTGGGGGGGAGGGAGAGACTGGACCATTTCACACAGCAACAGATTGAATCCTATCCCTCACCCCTCTCTTCCCCTTCTTGCAAAGTTGTGAATGTCCACATGCAGAAAAAAAGTTGGCAAGGGCAATCATGGCTAAAATCATGGCTAAAAGGGTTTGTACAGGCTGCTTTATTTTCTTTTCCTAGGGGGGAGAAATAATTCGCTGTGAGCAGCAGAATAATCCAAGAAAAATGGTTTCTTTCTTAAGTGAAGCTCAGAAGGCAGCATAGAGACTTGCGGGTTGGCGCCTCTGGCAATGGCGGATTTCCTCCGATCGGGAGGAATCCGCTCCGTGGAAAACAGGGTCTGACCCGCCACGGCGAGGCGGAGACCCATCAAAAACCACAGGTGGGAGAAGCCTGTGGACGTGGGATTTGGCTGGCACCTTTGCGCCCCCCCTACTCACGGGGAAACCCGGTTTCGGGGATCCGGAGCGACGTGGGGTGAGTGGCGCAGTGCTTTGAATCGATTGCTTCTTTCCCGGAGTGAAGCCGCATTGCTGTTGCCGGAGAGCGCTGACTTTTTCCTGTGGACAATTGGATTTTAAACAACTGCCCGTGAGTAAAACGGAAAATTGGATTAAGAAACTTTTTAATTTGGCACTGAAGCGGGAAGGTCTAAACAGGAAGTCCGCCTTCCGCTTTTGTAGATAGATTGAAGCAAAGACACGGCAAGCTAGAGTTTAGAAAGTCGTCTGTAAAGGATCAAATTTTCATCATTTAAAATTACTGAACCCCCCTTGGAAGCAGGAGAAGAGGGGGGAACCTTTTTTAGACTGTTTAAACCTGCAGAAGAGAGAGTAAAGAAAGGCAGTTTTCCACCGTCTTGAACCTGGGAGCGGGGTGTCAGGACAGACGTTTTGGGGAAGTTCATTGACTATGGACAAACGTTTTTGACAGATAGTTAAAAGAAGAGAAACATATTGATTCCATTGTTCCCCTTCGCATTTAAAAGGAACAAAATATTGACAAAATATCCGAAAAAGGAAAACTTTGTTGCTAGATCTGCTTTTAAAAAAAAAAAAAAGATGGATACAAATAGAAATTGTTTCCCCTAGAGGGAGCTTGTGAAATTGTTATTAAAGCCGAATTGGGGAGCTTTGCAGCTGTAATAGATTAAGATCGTGGGACCAGACTTCGACCTTGAACAAGAATGTGCTCGGAGGCTCTGGTGCTTGCCTTTTGCAAGACAAGTGCTTTATTGGAACAGTTACATGAGAAGATGGATTTGATGACTGTTGCGATTGGAAATTTTGGACAGGCAGTGGGTACCTATATAGAACCCACTCAGGAATTAATCCAGGAATGTGCTTTGACAGATCAGATGAGGGAGGAGGTTGTTGCTGGACCTCGGGTGGCAGAGATGGAGGGAGCTGTGGCCCAGCAGGAACATGAGTTGTTGGATTTGATGAACGAACCTGGAAAAAGTCAGATTTGGAGAGATGGAGTCCAGTTTGGCTTGGAGATGGGGGGCTGGATAGACCCCCCTATGCAGGGATGTTTTGACCTTTCAAGTCTGGCTTTGGGCCGGGGGGAGCTCGGAGTTGTGGGGGCCTTTAACTTTGGAGGGACCTTGAAACATGCCTTTAAATATCACATGGATTTCAGTGTTGACTATGGAAAAGGGGCTGACCTGTCAAGAAGGGACAAAAATATTGTCAAGCTGGAGTCTCCCCGAGTGAAAGGAGCAGAAGACAAAGTAAAGTACAGGTATAAACATGAAGAAGACCTGCGGAAGGGACATGGAAAAGACTTAAGAGCCTCGGATATAAGGTCACCAGGTTGATGGACTAGATGGATGGGATAGAAAGGACTGACAAAACCCGAGACCAGGAAGAAGAGACGATGGATGAAGATTGGAAGAAAGTTTTAAAAATTTATTTAGAAAAGTATCGTAAAATTAATGAGTATTAGAAAAATGTTGGAATGAAATTATTTGGCTTTAGCAGAAATGTTAAAAAGAATTATGTAAGAATATGTTATGGTTAAGAGAATTTGGTATAAATAAGATTTAAGTTTTAAGTTTTAGGGTTTTTATGGTAAGATAAGGTTAAAGTTGATTAAGGTAATTATTTGACTGATTATTGTGAAAGATGGAAAGGATTTGCTGAGATAATTAACAACTAGAATACAAAAAAGGGAGGTGTGAGGAGGTCGATGAAATAAGTTTATGACAGTTAAGGATCTGGGAATATTGGATTTGTTTTTAAATTTTTTGTTTATTTTTTCTTTTTGATTTTGATGTATTGTGTGTTTTGTTTTTTCTTTTTGATTTTGGTTTTTACTGATTTGTATTGTTTAATTGTTACTTTTATCTACTTTTTTGTTTCTTTTTCTCTTTCTCTTGTTTCTTCCTTCTTTTTTTCTTTGTAACCTTAAAATTCTCAATAAATATCATTAAAAAAAAAAAAGGCATTTCCCAGCACCTGGCACCTGTTTGGCTTTCCTTTACATTTTCACATGACCACACTGCTTAGTCCTCTTAGGAAGGGTTATTCTTCCTAAGTGTGGTGTAGTGGTTAGGAGCGGTAGACTCGTAATCTGGTGAACTGGGTTTGCTTCCCCACTCCTCCACATGCAGCTGCTGGGTGACCTTGGGCTTGACACACTTCTCTGAAGTCTCTCAGCCCCACTCACCTCACAGAGTGTTTGTTGTGGGGGAGGAAGGGAAAGGAGATTGTTAGCCGCTTTGAGACTCCTTCGGGTAGTGGATATCAAATCCAAACTCCTCCTCCTCCTCCTCCTCCTCCTCCTCCTCCTCCTCCTCCTCTTCTTCTTCTTCTTCTTCTTCTTCTTCTTCTTCTTCTTCTTCAGTCTTGCATGCCTCCAACTGTGGATCCTTCTTCTTGTTCTTTCCTTGTTGACTTTTTTCAAGTTCTTTATCCTGTTGGTTTTCCAGGGCTTCCCATTTCTCTGCAGTTCTCTGGATCCCTAGCATTTCATTCCTATGTCTCTAGTACCATCCTATTGTTTGAGCTTCATTAAATTCACCTGTGTCCCAGCCAAAAGGGCTTAGACCTAGAAAGTTTTCTCTTCACTGGTTCCTAAGTTGATGCAAACCAAACTTTGGAACTGAATCTCTTTCTAATCACAATGCAGATGTTTAAGTGGGGGGGGGATGGCAGGCAGAAGCTACACAAC